CCCCCGGCCGGCGGCTCCGCGCCCGGCTACCGCTGCCCCGAGCCGCAGTGCGCGCTCGCCTTCGCCAAAAAGCACCAGCTCAAGGTGCACCTGCTGACGCACGGCGGCAGCCAGGGCCGGCGCCCCTTCAAGTGCCCCCTGGACGGCTGCGGCTGGGCCTTCACCACCTCCTACAAGCTGAAGCGGCACCTGCAGTCGCACGACAAGCTTCGGCCCTTCGGCTGCCCGGTGGGCGGCTGCGGCAAGAAGTTCACCACCGTGTACAACCTCAAGGCGCACATGAAGGGCCACGAGCAGGAGAACTTGTTCAAGTGCGAAGTGTGCGCCGAGCGCTTCCCCACGCACGCCAAGCTCAGCTCCCACCAGCGCAGCCACTTCGAGCCCGAGCGGCCCTACAAGTGTGACTTTCCCGGTAACCGCGCGCGTAGGGCGGGCGGGCTGCGAGGGCGCCCGGGACTCCTCGTCTAAATTCAGTGGCTCTTTACAGTGGGCGCAGCAGGGCCCCGCGGGATTGAAAGTCTGTGGCCCGGTGTGAGGGGCGGGGACGCCTGGCCGCGGGGTCGGCGTGCTCGTGTCTTTCTGGTGGTTCGAGTTGGCACCCGGGCCCCGCATGGCCGCGGAACCTCCACGGTGCCCGCAGCACTCACCCCAGTCGCCTTCCCGGAGGCCTCTGCTGCAGACCACGGGGGCTTCTTAACGAGAAGGCAGCGTCCAGGGACTTGAGTCAGGAGTCGGGTCTTTATTTTCCCGCTGTCCGTCAGCCACGGGGGAGGGGAGGGGGGACGGGGGTTTCAAGTCCTGCATCTGGACGTGCACTAGTGAATCTGGCCAGATGCAGGACTTGAAACCCCCGGGGATACTGACTAGTGTCTATGGCTGGTTGACGTTTGTATCTCTTGAATTTCTGTTTTGTGACGTTGTAACAAATTGTCCTCTTTTGGGGGATGAAAGAGGCAGAGGCCAAGTAATGTGGATAAAACCCAGAGGGGGTTCGTCACGCCGGTGGGGTGGGAGATGTCAGGCCTCTACACTGTCAACTGTGCCCCCCCCAGCCCCCACCCCCCACTCCCCTGGGGGAAGAGGAGGTTCAGGCTTGGGACTGGGGTGGAAGGTGGAGCTGGTCATTGAACCTGCTGATCTAGGTGGGGAGGAAGGGAGGGAGGGAGGGTGTGTGTGTGTGTGTGTGTGTGTGTGTGTGTGTGTGTGTGTGTGTGTGTTGCTAAGGGGCAGAGCTCTGGGCAGAGGTGGAGGGAAAGGGCCTGCTTGTCCCTTTCATTAAAACAAAAGACTGGGAGGGCCCAGTGGGTGCCTATACCTTGGCAACCTGCGAGGCCTTCCTGAGGAGCTATGGTGTAAAGCATGCTAAAATAGAGGGACTTTGAAGCTGACATGAAAAGTGAGTTTTTTAAAGATTTATTTATTTATGCATATGGAACTGGAGTACAGGCCAGAGGTGCAGGGGCGGTGAGGGACAGAGTGGGGAGCAGAACAGGAGGATCTACTGAAATATATACACCAAGGGGAGCAGGGGGTGAGACAGGAGAGATCTGCTGTGCCATGTGGGTCAGCTCCCCAGCTGGGTAGCAAACTTGTGCTGAAGCAGCTACAGCTAGCTTCTCAGTGCCGCCCTTTAAGCCGTTGCACCACCAGGGAGGGCCCAAGAAGTGAACTTTTAAGAGGTTCCGATCTTCACCCCCACTTACCAGGGACTGTCTTGTGCACCCCTCCTCACGGAGAGCTGTGGGCACTGACTGCAGACCTCTCATCCGTGCACTCTGGAAATCTGACAGTGGTGTGGATGGTACCTAGAAAGTGCACAAGGGGCATCCTTCTGAGTTTCCTATGAGGAAGATCAGGGACCCGGCTTGTTTGAGGGTATGCGCTCCCCCCTGCCACCCTCCCGACCAGGCTTTTGAGTTAAATGATCAGTGAGTGTTCAAGTTGTGGAAAAGCGGGAGCAAGACCAGTGAAGCCTCATTAAATATTGCAGCCATGAGTTTCCTGGGCGCTGATCCAGGTAGAGGCAGAGGGACAGGTGAGGAAGCACCAGGTAGGAAACATGACAGGCAGAGTCTGAGAGCTTGGGTGTTGAATTGGGGGTGGAGGTGTTGTTTCTTACTAGGGCACAGAGATTTAACGTTTTCTGATATATGGCAGACAGTGGAACACCAAGCTGCGGAAGAGTCTTACGTGGTACTGTATGTTGTTGCCCTTCCAAGCACAATCCATCAGACAGTCTGGGTGTGAAAGGTCTTTAAATGATTTAGCTTTGTCATAAAGTTGACAAAAAAAATTCTCCACTAGGCCTTTGTCTGGAGTTTGAACATTCTCCTGGTGTCCCTGTGTCTCGTTTCCGCCCACATCCCAAGGTGGCTCCTTGGCATGGCTCAGCCTGTGTGTGACGGCGTGCCGTGACAGAGGGTGGCCTGTCCAGGGTTGGTGAAGCCTTGACCTTGAGCTTTGGGGATGAGCTTAAGAGTTGGGCTCCTACTACTAGTGACCGTGAACTAGAAGAAGTGGTTTTGAAGATTGGTGGAAGAATTAATATAAATTCTCGTTTACTAGAGGTTTTTTGGGTCATTTAGAAGTCCGACAAGGTCTCTGTCACCAGAGATAGCTGTAGGTTTCCTATTAAGGTGTATGACAGTTAGCCTGTGGTATAATTGGTTTCGTCGGCCATCCTGTCAATTCCAAGAACCTGTCAGCGATTATTCACTGAGGGCTTAAGGTAACATTGACAGTTGAGTTCATGGAAGGTACACAAAGCAGGTGACTTCCCTTCAAAGTCACATGGTGACAGGTGCCCCGTGCCCCCACCCACCCAGCTTATTGGCTGCCCTTAACCACCCCTCCATCAATGGTCATTCCTTTCTGAAGGTTTCTAAACCATTCTCTTCCCTGTCTGCTCAGAGCCAGCAGTTTCTTGAGGGGTGGGGCTGGGGGTGGGTGACTAGTTTAACTGTTTTGTCTGATTTTGTCACACTGGTGAACAGGGTTTGTTTTCTTGGTTCAGGCTGTGAGAAGACATTCATCACAGTGAGTGCTCTGTTTTCCCACAACCGGGCCCATTTCAGGGAACAAGAACTCTTTTCTTGCTCCTTTCCTGGATGCAGCAAGCAATATGACAAAGCCTGTCGTCTGAAAATTCACCTGAGAAGTCATACAGGTAACGAGCTAGAGTGAAAACATTTGGACCTGAAGTGTATCTTTGTGTTAGCTTTGCATTTATAATTATGCAGTGTAATTATGTTCTTTTCGAAGGTGAAAGACCTTTTATTTGTGACTCTGACAGCTGTGGCTGGACCTTCACCAGCATGTCCAAACTCCTAAGGCACAAAAGGTAAACTTCACGCGTGGTAGAAATGACCAGTTTGGGAGATGAGTGGTTTGGCAGTAGCAGAAACCGATGGATAAAATGCCTCTAGGGTTTTGTCCCCATCACCATCCCTTATCCCTCCCTTTGACCCTTCACCACTCTCTTATCCTCAGAAACTTCACTTCATTCTATTAGTGTCTATAGTTTTTGTTTAAGTATTTTGCTTTTTTGGACTGTCCATTATGTATATGACAAGTAACTTATTTTTTGTCACTCTGCCTTGTTTTACTACACAGAGTTTCCTCTAACTTCCATTTTTCTCTAAGTGGCAATGTTTTGTATTTCCTAATGATTGAATAATATATTCCATTGTGTGCAGATTTTTCAAGTTACAATAAAAGGAGCTCAGTGTCCATAATGTGGAAAGTCCAGGAAGCTGTAAAACAAACCTAGGATTTTCATCTGTGTAGACTTTTTTATTTAACTTAATTGAAACATATACAAGTAGATATGAAAGTTAACACTGCAGTGTAAGCTTCTCTTCTGAGAGAACAGTTTCTTCCACAAACCTCATGTGATAATCACCTTGGAGGGCTTAGCATGTGAACTGGTGATGCTCCCGCTTACAGGGGTATCTCTGCCCTCTCCTACCGCTGAGTTTGGTGATTTGCACTGGGGCTCCTGAGGGGCTGGGTGTCGGCCTACACTTCTGCAGCTGGGATTTAAAGTGAAAATATTACTTAGGAAAAGTAATGGGTGATCTGAGAGTGTCCTTTAGTCTGTGGTCAGTTCTCTGTGCATACGTTTCATTGCCCTCAGTTTATTATAGGATTTTCATAAGAAAGCATTTAACTAAAGACTTGTTTATTATCAGGATGCTACTGCTTATTGTCAAGATTTCTTAATAGTCAAGGCAGCTTCATTACTACCTTTAGGACTCAGCTGTTCCTGGATCGAAGCAGCACTAATTGTTGTGTCTGACTGGTGTAGGCTTAGTCATTAAAGTAGAATTTAGAATTACAGAGTAACTAAGGTAACTAAAGTACCAATCTCTCCATATGAGCTAGAGACAGAATTAAGATTTTCTGAAAATACCTGTCTTTTTTTCCAAATGCAAAGGATTTGTGGTATGGTAAAGTTCACAGAATTTTAAAGGAAGAATCACCTCTGAGCGCTGGGGCCCCTGGTGCGTGTACGCCGTCAGCATCACCTTGCTCTTCTGTCCTGCAGGAAGCATGACGACGACCGGCGGTTCACGTGCCCGGTGGAGGGCTGTGGGAAGTCGTTCACCAGGGCAGAGCATCTGAAAGGGCACAGCATCACTCACCTGGGCACCAAACCGTTCACTTGTCCCGTGGAAGGTAGATTTTATTGTTGCTTTGAGCTCTAATCCGGTACTGTGTCCAGTTTAACGGAAGTTTCAAGTTGCTTAAAGGTTCCTTTAATTTGCTTAAAGACGATATAAGTGGCAGCATTAGGTTGATGTGGCTCATTTTTAGTTAATTGCTCCATCTTGGGAGTAGCATATTGGATAAAAACAGACGTTAAACTCAGATCTGGTTTGACTCCTGGCCCCATAGTTCGCCTACTAGATGGGCTGTGGTTAGTTGCTTGTTGAACTGTGTGGTTGTAAGGGCTGGGAACAGTGATACGTGAAAAATGACTTTTGGCATCCATATTATAGAGTCGATCCATGTTAACTAAGCATGCTGTCATTGGCCAGTAATACAAGTCAGTTGGCTTTCTGAAAAAATATTAAGGAGACTTCCCCCCTCTAGAACACCAAAGGTGAACGCCGACTCAACCCTACTGCTCCAGGGGTTCTGTGGGCTTAGACCCAGTGGTGGTCGCTGGTCTCGAATTTGAGTCCTTGGCTCCACGCCCCCCTCATTTGGCGCCCTCAGGCAAACCTCAGCCTTGGCTTCCTTATCTGGAAAAGATGCTGGCACCCATTTGAAGCTTCATTTCTTAGGCTGTAATGAAGGTGCTGTAGCCCGTGCAGTCGGGACGCAGCTCATCCTCAGCAGAGCTCTGTTGGAGCGCGAAAGTAGACAGACAGTGTGAGATGCAGAGGTGCGGGCGGCCGCCTGCTCTCTCCTTAGGGGGTGGGAGCATGGACATGATCTCTAGGCAGCTGAAGCGTGAGGAAGAACTAGCCAGGAACCAGGCCCTGGTGGTAGCATAAAAAGGCCACTGCGGGAAGTCTCCCAGAAGTGCAGGTCGGGGGGCCATGGGGTCATGTTTGACTTTAGGCTCAGTCTGGTTTTCCGGGGAGATAGGATGGGGCCTGGCTGGGGTTTGCTCATGGGAAGGGAGAGAACATGTAGCCCATAGTTAGAACAACAGTGCTTGGTGACAGATTTGGATTCAGTTGGAGCTTGCAGGAGAGGCGGTCGCTGGGGATGTAGCTCAGCTGAGAGTGGGCCGGTGGAGGGGTAGTTGGCAGGAGAGGAGCTTGGTTTGGATACGCTGCAGTTTACTACCTGTGGGCTCTCCTGTCCAGATTCCTGGAAGGCAGAGTACCTGCTGCTTGCAGTCAATGAAGAGGCAGGCTGGGCATGAGGCAGGGGCAGGCCTTAGCCATTTCAGCCGTGGAGGCAGGTGCGGTTTTCGAGGAATGGCGTAAATGGAAGAGAGGCAGTGTAGGTAGTGAAAAAGTGAACTCTGGAGTAGACTGCTTGGATACCACCTCAAGTCTGCCATTGAGGAGCTCTGTTGAGCTGGTTAAACTCCTCTGAGCGCCGACACCACCCTTAAGCGGGTGGCTGTATTGTCTTATGATTTCTTCCCCGAAGTAGCGCTCTCGTGACTCGGGCACCTGTACGTGCCCTTCCCGATGCCGCGTTCTCGGGCAGGCACTGGGCACGTCTTCTGTGGGTGGTGCTGTTTGACTCGGCCCTCTTGGTCCTGTGCAGCGGATGTCAGTCCCACTTTACAGAGAAGGGGATCCAGGAAGGCGCCACGGCTGGCCGAGGCGGAGTCGGAATCCAGCCGTGCTGGTGTGAGCCCCTGCTGCACTCTGGTCCCCACAGCTGCTCCGGGCAGCTCTCTGGCCTGGCGTCCTTTCGCTCTGCGGAGCCACCGTTCACCAGGGCTCAGCCCCGGGAATGCTGTCCGCCTCCGCGAGGAGCCTTTGTCCTGTCCGCTGCGTGCCCTGTGCTTGCTGTGTCTCTCCCTCCAGACACCTCATGGTTTTAATGCTGATTTTGTTCTGCATTTTGTATGATGGCTGGTGGCTTACATGTCCTTGCCGGATCACCAGCTCGTAGTGGCTGAGGACTTCACTTCTCCCTCTGGGTCCCGGGGGCAGAAGTCCAGCCGGGGGATCAGAGTGTGAAGGGCAGGTGGCTGTGGTTTGGGCTTGTCTTGTTTTCCCTCTGACGTGCCTGCAGGTTTGTGATCTTACTGACCAGCCAAGCAGTTGTGTGGTCAGTGGGGCAATGCCAGCTCCAGGCTCCGCTCAACCTCCAGCTTAAGGCCATTTGTTTGACCCATCCGGGCATCCGTCTCTCAGTGATATAAAGTGAGAGGAAGAGACTTGGGTGTCTGTTCCTATGACAGCGTCGGTGTCATAGGATTACAGTTGCTCATACAGTAGTAGCTTAACTATCGCCTGGTACTCGTACGGACGAGCCGCGGAGTTCAAGGAGTCGTTTAATACATGATGGAATCTTCCCAGCAGCCCTGTGTGGTGAAGAAAGCCACGCGCTCAGAGTTATCTGTCCCAGGTTGCGTGTCTTACACACGACTGACATGCAACTTACAGTCTTCTCTTAAAGTCAGAGTTTGCTTTTGGATTTAATTCCTTGCACTGCAGCGCTGAGGGCTATTTGGCATTGGCCTCTCGCCAGCGACTGAATTGGGCGGGCATTCCCTCCTGCTCCTGAGGTGATGAGGAGACGTCCTTCACGCTAGGTGACCCCTAGCGCTAGCACTGGTTTCTCGCTCTGTTTCAGGTTGCTGTGCCAGGTTCTCCGCCCGCAGCAGTCTGTACATTCACTCTAAGAAGCACCTGCAGGATGCTGGGGCTCCGAGGAGCCGCTGCCCGGTCTCCAGCTGCAACCGCCTGTTCACCTCCAAGCACAGCATGAAGGCGCATGTGGTCAGACAGCACAACAGGCGCCCAGGTCTGCTTGATTTACTGTCGCTTTCCGCCGCTACAGAGACAGGGAAAGAAGATGCTCGAGATGCTCCCTCTCTAGCTCCTTTTTGAAGTTTTGTTTTTATAGGCAAATAACTGAGTCCAGTGACCTTACACTGCCATGGACCGTGGCCCCACGGCCAGCGGCCTCACTTGAACTCTGCTGCCGCTTTCTTGCCGCTCTGCATCCCTTGAAGACCGCGTAGCCTTCTGCTTGGTTGACTTTCCCTGCCCTTGTCTTCAGACAGCCTCCACTCTGACTCTGTTAGGCTTTGGAGCCTCTCCCTCCGCTCTCTCCACCTCTCTGAGTCCTATTCTTTCTGAGCACGCTTGTACGTCTCCTCTACCCTGCTGTCATGGAACGTCCTTGAAGATCAGAGCAGTTGTGCTCAAGACAGGGCTGGGGTTAGCGGCCTGCAACAGGCCGGCCAGTGAGGCTCCATGATAGCCGTCTTCCTTCCCCCCACCCCCACCCCGGCCCTTTTCCTGTCCTGACTCACTGTAAAGTCAGCATTGCTATCGTTCACTTAAGTTCCTTTACTTTCTTTCTTTTAAAGATTTGCTTATTTCTGCATACAGAGCTGGGGTATAGGCCAGAGGTACAGGGGCAGTGAGGGGATTCACCAGAGACAGAGTGGGGAGCAGAACAGGCAGATCGGCAAAAGTACCCTGCTGAGGGGAGCAGCGGCAGGTCAGGAGAGGTCTGCCGCGCCCTGTGGTCACCTCCGGGGCCGGGGATCGAACTGGCACTGAAGTGGCTGCGGCGGCTCGCAGTGCTGCGTCCTAACCCGCTGCGCCGCTGGGGAGGGCTGGTTCCTTTGTTTCTTGACTCTGACCAAATGTGAGAGCCTCTCAGGCTTTTGAAGTGCCTGGGCCTCCGCATTTAAATGTGATGTAGGTGATGTGTGTTCTGCCTGCTGCTGGTCAGGGGGAGGTGCAGTTGTCCTCCTGAGCCACAAGGGTCTGGGGTGTCCATTTACTGTGGGCCAGCTTTGCTAGGGGCTGTGTGAGGCCTGTTTGAGTTCTTCCTCAGCGGTGGTCCTCAGGTGGGTGTCCTGACCCCTCTGACACTGACAGAGAAGCCGCGCACAAAGGAGAACTTGCCTGAGGTGGCACGGGCAGCGGAGTGCTGGAGAGAGGCCACGGTCGTGACCTTACGCTAGCTGGTCTACTCATTTTTTTTTTAATGATTGTGAATCATTGTGAATCTGGCTCTTGTACACAGCAGGTCTTCCCTACATGTTCATAGAATTGATAAAAAACCAAATCGGAAATTTATGGATGAATAGTTATTTCTGTTCGTACTGGGGTGATAATTCTTAATCTTTTCACAGTGCTGGATCCTCAAGGTGAAGGGAATTTTTGGCAAGTTGTGGAAATGTGGCATGGTTTTCCAATTTTAATTTCTCTTAAAGAGTCACATTTCCCCCTCCCACCCAAAAAGGTCCTATTGGTACTAAGATAGACATTTACTGGCAAAGCGGTCATATTATTTGTACTTTTAAGTAACATGACAACTGTAGAAAAGGTATATTCTGAATGAGGTTAATTCTTTGGTGGAGGGAGAGTTCAAATAGATTCTTACACAGGTTGGTATTAGAAATCTCGTAGGCATTCTGCCTGGGCAGCCCCACGCTGGGAAGTATGAGCTTGGGCCCCGCTAACAGTTGGCGTGGGAGGGCTAGAGACTGAGGGAGCCTGTCCCTTTGGTCAGGCACTGGCACATTCAAGCTGCACGTAGAATTTCTTTGGCGAGAATAAGATCAAAACCTTGTGCGATGTCTTTGCCCTCTTTCTTTGAGCTACCATTTTGTTTGCTTGGTGCTTGGAGCCCTAGGATTTGAGCTGATTGGTGTGTATTTGTGTATACCCAACTCGAATTGTTCATTGACATTTTTTGAAAGTATGTTAATGTTCCTATTCCTCCAAGGATTCTTACTATTTAAGTCAATTGAGTAACAATTGAATGAAGAAGACTCTGTATTTCTAGACTCATTAAATGAAGCTCTAGGGCCAGGCACTTGCTGGTGTAGGGCCAGAGATGTGTCCCCAGACTCTTAGGATGGTGATAGCCAGGGAGAGCCCGGGGAAGTCCATCTGGAGCTCTTAGTCCACAGTGCCCTGAGACTCTGCACCTCCCTGGAGTTAAGGCCTTGATCCCGCTCAGAGGTAGGCCAGTTTTTTTCCCCACTGATCATCCCAAGATGACTCCCACCCTGCTGGAGTGGCTGGTTGTGGTGTGGGACATAGTTTGATGAGACTTGAACTGACACAGGTTGATTCTGAAAACAGCTTAGAGCTGTTCACTTGTGTCTGACTTCTGAAGATCTGCTTTCCATGGAAGTGTTAGTCTCAGAGGTAGCTACTACGGCATAGCTGGAGGATTGGGCTTGAAACCAGCAAAGACATGGATTCAAGTCTTGCCTCTTCGGTTACCAGTTAATATGACATTAGGAAATCGTGAATTGTTTTTTCCGTTTGGAGAAATCTCTGGCAGCTGGAGGATTTGACATAACAGCCGGGAAGATGCCCACACATCAGAAGCAGTGCCTTCCTCAGCGTGTGGCCGCCTTGCACACACAGGCGGCGGGGCACTGGCCATCCAGTTCCCTGGGCACTGTGGCCTAGCTGCAGGAAGGAGACTCCAGATGGGCTCCCCTCACGTCAAAGCAGTTGGGTCATTTGCTAACATCTGAGTAAAACTTTCTAATCTTCTGAGGACATAAAATAACTGGAATGTTCATTCATTTTTCAGATCTCTTCCCTCAGCTCAGCGCATCAAGTTCTCTTACACCCAGCAGCGAACTCGGCAGCCCAGGCCAAAGTGAGCTCAACAACATAGACCTGGCAGCACTCTTCTCCGATGCACCTGCTGATGGCGGTGGTGTACCCGGGTCCTCGGAGGAGACGCTGAACCCTGGAATCCTGACTATTGATGTGACTTCTGTGAGCTCCTCTTTGGGGGGGAACCTCCCTGCTAATAATAATTCCCTAGGGCCCGTGGAACCTCTAGTCTTGGTGGCCCATGGTGACATTCCTCCAAGCCTGGACAGCCCTCTGGTTCTTGGGACAGCAGCCCCAGTTCTTCAGCAGGGCAGCTTCGGTATGGACGACGCGCAGCCTGTGAGTGCAGGAGCATTAGGCTGCCTGGTGGCTCTGCCTGTGAAGAACTTGAGTCAGGACCCACAGACGTTGACCTCCAGCAGTAACTTACCAGCAGACACCACCGCAGTGACCTCTTCAGGTGCGCCCCTGGGAAACGGCAGGGTCCCAGAGATGCTGGCACCAATCAAAGTGGAACCAGACTCGCCTCCTCGCACTGATGCTGTCAGGCTGCAAGAACAAAACAGAGGTGTACCCCGGTCTGTGTTCTCCAGTGCTGCAGAAAAGCACAGTCCTCAGAAAGACTCGGGGCTCAGTGCAGGGACCGGCAGCTTTTACTTGGTATGAAGTGCTATATTCAGTCACCACCACGTAGCTCACCTCTCTTACACTCAATTTGAGGATGTTCTGGATTACTCATTTACATGCAGACATTTCTTACTGGTTTGCAAAAGGATGGAGCCCTGGACTACAAGTCTGGAAATACGAATTCTGATCTTGAGTCTGGAACTGACTATATTTTACGACCTTGAGCAAATCACTTAAGCTATCTGAGCCTTAAATTCTCATTTATTTCTAAAATGAGGGGTTTGGCTAGATGATTTCTAAGGTCCTTTTGAGTTCTGTGATTCCATGATGATAATGTTCCTTCCCCCAAAATTGAGTTATTTCATAATGTGTTGACGTGTTCTGCCTTTGTGCTTTTTACGTAATGATGCCCTTAGACTGGCTTAATGACCAGAGGAAGAAGAATCATGACACCAATTGTCTTTGAAGGTTCAATGGAAAGTAAAAACTTGCAATTTTTTTTTTTTAACTAGAATTAAGAAGAAAAAGAGAGAATGATTTGTGAGCCATTATATTTTGGGAGGCCTCAAAATTAGATTTTGAGGCTCAATAGTTAGTACACTTTAGCTCTATTTATGTCAGTTATACATTTAATTTAATTTAATTTAAATAATTTAATTGAATTTTTGGAAGAGTCTGACTTTTTTCTCCATCTCAGATGGGCAGGATCAGATAGTTTTTTTCTTTGTGGCACAGGTTAAATTTGATGGTGATAACTTGTGTTGCTCAAAATGTTAAATATTATCGCAACTTTAAAAATAAGTTAAACTTGTGGGTTAAGATCAAGTACGAGGGATGTGGTAACCCATCTGCCATGGAGCCAGCTTTGATTGCTTTCTGTCTGAGAAGTCATCTGCCATCCCTCTCGTGGTGTCTGCTTGTCATGGCTTAGCTGTGCTTGCTAACCTTTGCTTCAGTGGCCACAGCTGTTGCGAAGCTGGCAGGTGACTGGCAGGAGGGGAGGTGGCCGAGCCTCAGCCTGGGGCAAGGCAGGGCCGGCCCACGTGCAGGCCGAGTGCCTTGAGAGTGGTGGCTCTCCTGTGCCGCTGTCTCCTGAGCCTGAATGGTGGGTGGCGGCAGGAGGAGCTGGCGCAGCCTTGATCCTTACCCCTGTTCGTTTTCTCGCTAGCTGTGTGAAGTTGGGCTGCCTCGCTTCTCTGAGCACAGATGGTGTGTGGTGAGTGGGTTACAGGTACGCCATGAGCTGCTGAGGGCTACTCTCTATCTACTGATAAATACGAGACTTGCTCTTTAAAGCTTAACACATTCATGACGGCTGAAGGCTATTTGAGCCCTGTTTGGTTCCCTCACTGAACTCCCCTCATTCGGTGACATGATGATTGTTTTGGGGTTTAAGACCAAGTAGCGCACCTGCTGTCAGAGTGTCCTCTGCAGTGGGATGTGACTGGGACCCCTCAGGGCTGCTGCCAAGTGCAGTGTGGCTCCTCACAAGAAAGGTTGGCAAGTGCTACAGCAAATTAATCCTGAGTCCCCGAGGGAAGGCTGGTTATTTGTTTCAGATAACAGAGAAGTATGTAATTCTTTTTATAACAGTTCCTGTGTAAAATATTTTAATATGTTTTAGTCTTTGGAGGAATAAACTTTGCTTCTCTGGATAATAAAATTATGTATATTGTTCCAGCTGATTTCATTTAGCTGTTACTGGAATTGGATGTAGCATTTGATTCTGTGTGAGCCTTTGCTGGAGTCTCGAAGATTATCGGACTCAACTCTGTTCAAGAAACAGACTTAATACGATTCAGTAGTTCCCTTCCTACCCTGCCTTTGCTGTTTGGATCAAATGACTGACACACTTTTCTTTGGTCTCAGGAAAGTGGGGGCTCAGCAAGAACTGATTCCCGAGCCATTCAACTAGCCAAGAAAAAAAAGCAGAAAGGAACTGGGAGCAATGCAGGTGAGGCTGTGTGTGCTGCAGGGTGGGGAGCGCCTCGTGAGTGCCTCGTGCAGCTGAGCTGAGGAGCAGAAGCGCCTAGAATAGGAGTTCTTACATTCTTTGCGTGACTTTTGCATGTACAGTCTCCTGTGATCAATTCTTTAGTTTTATGTGAACTGTTAAAAACAGACTTAGTCACAAAAACCTCAGCATCAGTACAAGTGTGGTTTATTTACCTAAAAAGGCTGTGTGAGGATTAGCAGTTGCAAACGCCAGTGTCTGTTATTAGGCAGGCTACAGGTGGAAAGAGCAAAGCAGACCAGGTATCAGAAAAAGAAGTAGGAACCTGATTCTCTTGGTTGCTGGCCCCTCGTCTTGGCTTCGGGGAGATCCAAGGGCAGGGTGTCCCCAGGGAGGGAGTGCTGTTGCGCCAGCCTGTGGATATCATGTATTAAGGCTACTCAGTTCAGAATTGCTTCTAGTTTTAATTAAGATGTCAGCAGCTCATTTGAACTGTTTTTTGAAAAAGAAGTGGACCGAGCAGAGCCCTGCAAGACCAGACCACTTGCCGGTGGCTACCTGAGGCTCTCAGCCCGTCACCCTGAAGATGGTGCAGAGGGGCGCAGTGCTGCAGTTAGGTCCTGTAGTCACAGCTAGTTCTTCTGTGGCACTGAGAGGGAATTATTTTGATATATTTTATATATTTCCTTTGTCTTTTATAGTCATCTAAAATTTATTTTTAAAATAAAAAGGGGTATGTGGGACCAGCAATACAGTTTTGTATCTTTCAGTTCTTAAAGTAGCAGTAGTCCCCTCTTCATCAGGTTTTCTTTTTTGCCCTGTAATGGCAAAAGGGTCACCCCTGCTGCTCACACGGTGCCCACCTGGAATTGGCATAGATGATGGGAAATGGTGCTCTGGTGGGATCTGAGAACGAATGTAGCACATCCTAGGCTGTGGTCACGAAGGAGATCAAATGCCCTTACTAACCGTGCTAGGGAGTCAAAGCCTGAAGGGAAAGAGACAGTGCACATCCGGGTAAGTAGCAAGTACCATGTTGCTGTGTCCATCTCATTGCTTTGAGGTTGCATCTAGCTTTTTTTTTTTTTTTTTTAAAGATTTATTTATTTTGTGCATACAGAACTGGGGCATAGGCCAGAGGTGCAGGGGCGGTAAGAGGCTTCACCAGAGACAGAGTGGGGAGCAGAACAGGCCGACTGATAAGGTACACTGCTGAGGGGAGCAGCGGGCGGGTCTGCCGCGCCACGTGGGTCACTTTCGGGGCAGGGACCGAACTCCTGCTGAGTGGCATTAGCTTCTTAGTGCTGCGCTTTAGCATGTTGTGCAAACAGGGAGGGCCCTGTGTTTTATAATCGTGTCTGGCCAGCATCCAAATAAGAGTTGTTTTACTATTGGTTGGTAGGTTCTTGAATCCCTTGTAAGTCTTTCTCTCCACCTCTCTCCCTTGTGTTTAATGTGGGTGGCTTGTGCTCTTGAGCTGGCCGGTCTGGGTCTTGCCGATTGTATCACTGTCATGTAGTTCTTCTGTGTTTACTATAAATTAGTAATTATAGAGGCTTGACCTGACTGAAATTTGGTTCTCGAGGGTGTTTGGATATAGTAGGGCTGGCAAAGCTCCTTCGCTGGTGGTGCTGGGTTCTCCCTGAGGGTCCCTGAGGTCTCGTTGTCCTTCCGGTGCTGTTAGCAGTCTTTGGTGACCAGTCACTGGCATGGTAGTTCCCTGACTGTTGCAGAGGACAGTACCGGCGTCCCTTCCTCGTGGCTAGCTGGGGTGCTGTTTAAAGAGCACCGCCTCGGGGTCGCTTTGCTACGAGGTGTACAGATCGTAAAGTCAGGATAAATGTATTCATTGATTTCAACATTTATAGACTCTGATGCGAAATAGAAATCTGGAACTTGCCGAGTATGCAGGCAGAAAATGTTCCTTGTGTGAAGGCATTTTTGCCACTTCCATAACCTCGACCATTGGGGTAAGGTGTCGAGTAATCCAGGACGTTGTTCTCCGTGTGCAGCAGGTAAGCGTCCCTGGGAGGGAGAGCCTGTGAGACGCCATGCTCAGCCTCGGTGGCCTTCAGGTTCACCTGCACTTCCGTGGTCGGCTTCGCCGGGACTCAGCGCGCGGGTTGCCGTGCGGGCAGAGGAGCGGGCAGCAGGGCCTCGGGCGGCCCTCACCAGCGCCTTGCTGTCCTCCCCTTGGAGTTGTGCGTCGCTCCAGCTTCTCCCATCATGTGATGACACACAAGTACTCGCCAGCCAGTGGATGCATCGGGGCCTTGCTTGGCCAGATGTGGTCAGGGCTTGACTGCATGGACTTAGTTGCCAGCTCCTCTCGAGGTTCAGCTGAAACTGCAAAGCTTCCAACAAAAGTCATATTGGTAGACTCTTGGTAGAGGCTGCAGGGCCCCCACGTAAACAGATACTCAAAGTGGGACATTCCAAGAACCTTGAGGTTCCTTCCCAGGAGCTGGGCCAGAGGCTGGGAAAGGTTAATCCAGTCCTGCTCACTGTGCAAACGCCCTGTTTCTCCTAAAGCTCCTACTAATCCACTTCAGAGTGGATTTGCCTCTGGTGTTACTGTGGTGTTCTGGTGGTGATTTCCAATTTTCCTCTTTCTTAAGCATTCATTATTTAGAGTTCTTCTGTGAGAGAAAGAACTGTGCTTTCTCTCCCATTTACTCCTTGATAGCTGTATCAACTCAAAAGTATATATCACACTTTTATGGTTCTGATCAGTATGGGAATATCAATATTATCGATACATTGCTGTGAAGTTGTCTTAGCTGTGACCATTGAGAACTCTCAATTGGATTCTTGTGGGCTTTGATGTGCCCCTTCCTGGTCTTAGGGGGTGGAGCTTCATTCTTTATGGTATCACCAGGCTCATCTTAGTATTCTTACTCCAGCCTTGGAATTAGCCACTTTTCAAGCAAATCTGTTCCTGTCATTGGAGAATGGTATCAGAGGCCAAGGTCTGGACACTGGAGTTGCTGGTTGCTCCTCACTACCTGGGAGTCGAGGCTCTCAGTGGACAGTACCCGGAAGTGTGCTTATATACAATATTAACCCATAGTGACTATTTTGAATTCAGAGTAGTTCAAATTCTAAACCAGTAATGTAGTACATGTGTCTGTAGTGCCACTACTCACTACACCAGTACTTTTCAGTGGAATGTATTTAAAGTGACATCAACTAAGACTTTAAGTAGCTTCACGCCAGTTCATGTCAGGTGCTGCAAAAGTATTTCTGGCACCACGCTTAGAGGGTAGAAGATTTGGGAGCTTTTTCGTTTGGAGGTTTTGATCAGGGGATTATGGTGTAGTAAGTCCAAGAACAGAGAAGTTGCTGGGTAACAGGACTTGGTGGAATGACGTTGTTTAGACAGCAGGGACTTCGTTGTTGTCAGCGTAACTAAGCACAAAGTCAAAAACATGCAGTGTGAATGATTCAGAAACAGGACGCGGCGTTAAATCCAAGACTTTGCATTGGATTCCTGCTGAAGGTAGAAAAGTGTGCCACTTTCTTTACCTTAACACTTGATGTTCCCTTAGAATTAACTGAGAATATTTTCTCTACATAAAAAGTAGAGAACTCTTATTCTTGAAAGTGATGGCAAAATAAGCTTTAAAAATGTAACCAATTTCAGAGCTTTAGAACAGATATGTACTTTTATGCTTTCTCAGAGTAGAGAAAGTATAGTGTCTACCCAAAAAATAACAGTAGCTGCGAAATGGACCTGTGGACTGTAAAGACGTGAGACTTTCTTGTTAAAAGACACAAAGCTTAGAGGCAAAAATCCATCAACATGTTGTTTAGAAGAGCACATCCAGGATGGAAATATTTGGAGGTACAATTTAAAAAGGTAAAATAAAAAATAAACTCACAAAGAAGGGGTTCATGCTAATATCAGGTATAGAATTCAAAGAAAAGTAATCTCCTATATTTGGGGTACTGACCACATATAACTCACAGCAGAACTACATGATTTGTGACTAGATATTTATGTGAAACCTTACAAAATCAAATAATGCAAAGTGAAAACTCAAAAACTAGGAGAATTCTATAAATAAAACAACATTGGAAGTAGTTAATCTAACTCATTTTGGATCAAGTAGGACAATATAAACATATGAGAGATGTTTGCACTAGAGTTAATAAGGTTGATTTAATAAATCCTGTTCTGTGTCCATGGAATATTTATAGAATTAAAGTGATTAAGTTTATCAGGAAAACTAACAAAGTTTGTAGAAAGTAAAAGTGAAGTCAGCAGTACATGCTTTTGACTGACATGTGGTAAAACAGAAATGTGGTGAAGTGGAAATTACTTGGAAGACGTGAGTAAAAGAAGACGTCAAGCTAGTGCCCAGTGCTTGCTGGAGATTTGGGTAGCCCGAGTCAGGAGTTTGAACAAGCCGCTTTCTGCTTTCTGTGCTCCGTTGTAAAATGGTAATAAAAGCACCTAGTTTGAATTACATGGAGATTATGTGAGATAATGCAGGTTAAGTGACACACTGTCAGTTAAGTATTGTGGCTGTTAACAGGTGAAAGGGAGGGCTGTGGCCGAAAAAAAATGCAAGTTTGTGCAGACTCCTTTCCTATTAAATAAGAAAATGAAGCTATTAAATAAGAAAGTCGGCTCTTACTTCAGAGAAAGCACAAACCTAAGTCAGAAATCCTGTTTTGAGATGTAAGTGTGACAGTCTATTTATTGAAAACCATTCCTGGGCCAGACACCCAGAGGACAAGAGCCTCTGTCTAGCCAGTCATTTCCTACTTCTGAGTGAGAAAAAGTTCTGACAAAGACCTCCAGGGCGCTCAACTGCCTGGCCTGTCACCAGTTCTCTACAGCTTTCCCGAAACACGTGCCCCCCCCTCAGCCTCTCCTGAGAAGCACCTGCAGCGTCAGCGCCGCCCTTCCTCAGGAAAAAGAAAAGCATAATTGAATTTTATATAAATACCCTGTAAATGCCTTGACAATAAGTTGGAGTGCTTGCAATAAAATG